AAGGACTAGGAAAAACTTTATATCTGATAATTCATGACTACTACAGTTACTGCCCCTCCACCACTGTTATACAGTACTCTACCATGACTACTACAGTTACTGTCCCTCCACCACTGTTATATACAGTACACTACCATGACTACTACAGTTACTGCCCCTCCACCACTGTTATACAGTACTCTACCATGACTACTACAGTTACTGTCCCTCCACCACTGTTATACAGTACTCTACCATGACTACTACAGTTACTGTCCCTCCACCACTGTTATACAGTACTCTACCATGACTACTACAGTTACTGCCCCTCCACCACTGTTATACAGTACTCTACCATGACTACTACAGTTACTGTCCCTCCACCACTGTTATACAGTACACTACCATGACTACTACAGTTACTGTCCCTCCACCACTGTTATACAGTACTCTACCATGACTACTACAGTTACTGTCCCTCCACCACTGTTATACAGTACTCTACCATGACTACTACAGTTACTGTCCCTCCACCACTGTTATACAGTACTCTACCATGACTACTACAGTTACTGTCCTCCACCACTGTTATACAGTACTCTACCATGACTACTACAGTTACTGTCCCTCCACACACTGTTATACAGTACTCTACCATGACTACTACAGTTACTGTCCCTCCACCATGTTATACAGTACTCTACCATGACTACTACAGTACTGTCCCTCCACCACTGTTATACAGTACTCTACCATGACTACTACAGTTACTGTCCCTCCACCACTGTTATACAGTACACTACCATGACTACTACAGTTACTGTCCCTCCACCACTGTTATACAGTACTCTACCATGACCACTAGTACCCCCACCACTGCTATACTACTATTTCTTCTGCAATATTATGAAACGTATTTGATTACCACTATCAATACTAAATATTTTATTACGCACCATAAATACGTCAGTGCGGGAAGAGCATAACGAAACACGGCACAATGAATCCGTAGAGTTTATAGGTCTGTGTGTGTCACCTCACCCATCTCCCGCACTACATCACTGAATGCCCAGTTATTAGACCTTTCAGACCAGTTGGCATGAGGTACCTGGAGCTTTGCAATTACTTTATTCACTCTCGTATTCTTGAAGATATCCTCACAGTATACCCAAAATTTGCCAGTGCAGGCCATTAAACACATGGCTCTGTATGACTAACCATCCTGCGAGATGGGGACTTGTATTACCACTGCTACCTTATTCAATCTTGTGGTGTTGATATTCTCAAAATGCATCCGGAGTCTGCCAGTGTAGACCGCTTATCACATGCCTCTGTATGACTAACCATCCTGTGTGATGGGGATTTTTTAGCATCACCTAGTTAGTTTCTTTTTGACACACTGTACTCCACTTCATATAGTCTAGGGTAGCTGCACTAATGCAGATGTACCTAATATGTTAATAATAAAAAAAAAAAACTCACCCAAAACTTTTGTACCATGTCACCTCATCCAATAGAGTATATGTACGAAGAATTTGTGTGTAAATTAAGTCTTTGAAAATGTAATACGAATTACGAAACGCGTTCAGGCGTCAGACAACTAAAAATTGAATTTTTGGAGAATTGTTTTTTTTATTACCACCGACAGTGAAGAAAAACATAAGAAATATTGAGAAAATTCGTGTTAGAATTATTAATCTTACCTTTTCGGTCATATTCAACAACATATATATATATATATATTGTGTTTACATGAATGAGAGGAGGAATAAGATGATGTGCGGTGCGGCAATATGAACTATAAGGTGAGAGAGCCCAATGGTTGCCACCAAGGCAGTGTTCGTCCACTCACCGTTATTGGTGTGACGTCTCTTGTCCAACTCTGAAAAAGAGACAATAATATGTAACTAAAATAGTAAGTAATACGTGTCTACCTTCAGTCTACCTTCAGTCTACCAGAAGAATACCTGGAGTCTCCCAGAAATCAACCTGAAGGATACCTAGAGTATACAAAGGTTGCAACACTATCTCAAAAAAGTTTACCCCCCCTCTCCCCCCCTTCCTCCCTCCCCTGGTGGCATCCATCCACCACCCCAGCATCTGTGTTCCAGTACCTGGCACCTGGCACCTGGCCAGACGCTCTTGGTGCCGGGGGGCTGTGGGAGGAGGTCCTGTGTCGTCTGAGGAGTGGGCGGGTGGCGGGCCCTTTGTGGGCTGTGGGAGGAGGTCCTGTGTGGTCTATGGGGGGTGGGGCGGTGAGGACTGTGGGGTCACGACGGGGTCCAGGTCAAGCAAGAGACACTCTCCGCGGTACAGGGTGGGGGGGGGAGCTGTGAGGACTGTGGGGTCACGACGGGGTCCAGGTCAAGCAAGAGACACTCTCCGCGGTACAGGGTGGGGGGGGGGGGGAGCTGTGAGGACTGTGGGGTCACGACGGGGTCCAGGTCAAGCAAGAGACACTCTCCGCGGTACAGGGTGGGGGGGGGGGGGAGCTGTGAGGACTGTGGGGTCACGACGGGGTCCAGGTCAAGCAAGAGACACTCTCCGCGGTACAGGGTGGGGGGGGGAGCTGTGAGGACTGTGGGGTCACGACGGGGTCCAGGTCAAGCAAGAGACACTCTCCGCGGTACAGGGTGGGGGGGGGGAGCTGTGAGGACTGTGGGGTCACGACGGGGTCCAGGTCAAGCAAGAGACACTCTCCGCGGTACAGGGTGGGGGGGGGGGGGAGCTGTGAGGACTGTGGGGTCACGACGGGGTCCAGGTCAAGCAAGAGACACTCTCCGCGGTACAGGGTGGGGGGGGGGGGAGCTGTGAGGACTGTGGGGTCACGACGGGGTCCAGGTCAAGCAAGAGACACTCTCCGCGGTACAGGGTGGGGGGGGGGGAGCTGTGAGGACTGTGGGGTCACGACGGGGTCCAGGTCAAGCAAGAGACACTCTCCGCGGTACAGGGTGGGGGGGGGGGGAGCTGTGAGGACTGTGGGGTCACGACGGGGTCCAGGTCAAGCAAGAGACACTCTCCGCGGTACAGGGTGGGGGGGGGGAGCTGTGAGGACTGTGGGGTCACGACGGGGTCCAGGTCAAGCAAGAGACACTCTCCGCGGTACAGGGTGGGGGGGGGGAGCTGTGAGGACTGTGGGGTCACGACGGGGTCCAGGTCAAGCAAGAGACACTCTCCGCGGTACAGGGTGGGGGGGGGGGAGCTGTGAGGACTGTGGGGTCACGACGGGGTCCAGGTCAAGCAAGAGACACTCTCCGCGGTACAGGGTGGGGGGGGGGGAGCTGTGAGGACTGTGGGGTCACGACGGGGTCCAGGTCAAGCAAGAGACACTCTCCGCGGTACAGGGTGGGGGGGGGGAGCTGTGAGGACTGTGGGGTCACGACGGGGTCCAGGTCAAGCAAGAGACACTCTCCGCGGTACAGGGTGGGGGGGGGGGAGCGGTGAGGACTGTGGGGTCACGACGGGGTCCAGGTCAAGCAAGAGACACTCTCCGCGGTACAGGGTGGGGGGGGGGGAGCGGTGAGGACTGTGGGGTCACGACGGGGTCCAGGTCAAGCAAGAGACACTCTCCGCGGTACAGGGTGGGGGGGGGGGAGCGGTGAGGACTGTGGGGTCACGACGGGGTCCAGGTCAAGCAAGAGACACTCTCCGCGGTACAGGGTGGGGGGGGGGGGAGCGGTGAGGACTGTGGGGTCACGACGGGGTCCAGGTCAAGCAAGAGACACTCTCCGCGGTACAGGGTGGGGGGGGGGAGCGGTGAGGACTGTGGGGTCACGACGGGGTCCAGGTCAAGCAAGAGACACTCTCCGCGGTACAGGGTGGGGGGGGGGGAGCGGTGAGGACTGTGGGGTCACGACGGGGTCCAGGTCAAGCAAGAGACACTCTCCGCGGTACAGGGTGGGGGGGGGGAGCGGTGAGGACTGTGGGGTCACGACGGGGTCCAGGTCAAGCAAGAGACACTCTCCGCGGTACAGGGTGGGGGGGGGGGGGGAGCGGTGAGGACTGTGGGGTCACGACGGGGTCCAGGTCAAGCAAGAGACACTCTCCGCGGTACAGGGTGGGGGGGGGGGAGCGGTGAGGACTGTGGGGTCACGACGGGGTCCAGGTCAAGCAAGAGACACTCTCCGCGGTACAGAACAATAACCACCACCATTATAATTAACAACTGATTATGTAAATAACAACAATTATTTCCATAACTCAAGTAAATTACTTGTGTTATGTAAATAGTTACATAACACAAGTAAATTAGTACTATTAAAGGTAACAATAGTCAATTGGTTCAACCACCACTACCACCATCACCACCACTACCACCATCATCACCACCACCACCACCACCACCACCATCATCACCACCACCACCACCACCACCACCATCACCACCACCATCATCACCACCACCACCACCACCACCACCACCACCACTACCACCATCATCACCACCACCACCACCACCACTACCACCATCATCACCACCACCACCACCACCACCATCATCACCACCACCACCACCACCACCACTACCGTACCTGAACCATTTGTGAGCTGTTTGCTGGAGTAATAGAGGTGAGGCTAACCACCCTTGACCTAGATCCTCTCAACCCATTTCTCCCCCTTCCCTTCCCCCCACACACCGCCCCTTACTGTCCCTCCCCCCCCCCCACACAGCACCCCACCACCCCCCACCACCACCACCACCAGTGCAGGGGACCACTGGTGTGTGCTGGTGTCAACCGTCAAGCCAGGTAAAGTATGGGAGGCGGACATACAAGAGGGAGGCGCCAGCCCTCTGACACAGAAACAGTAAATTATCCACATTACCGGTGGGACCTGAGCGTCCCCCGCGGCCCGCGCTCTCTATACTCCTCCAGGGAGTGACCCCCTTCCTTACCCCAGCCATGGGCAGGGGTAGACACACCAGCCATGGGGAGGGGTAGACACACCAGCCATGGGGAGGGGTAGACACATCAGCCATGGGCAGGGGTAGACACACCAGCCATGGGGAGGGTGTTGGAGAACACTGACTGTCATGGGAGGGTGTTGGAGAACACTGACTGTCATGGGAGGGTGTTGGAGAACACTGACAGTCATGGGAGGGTGTTGGAGAACACTGACAGTCATGGGAGGGTGTTGGAGAACACTGACAGTCATGGGAGGATGTTGGAGAACACTGACAGTCATGGGAGGGTGTTGGACAACACTGACAGTCATGGGAGGGTGTTGGACAACACTGACAGTCATGGGAGGGTGTTGGACAGCACTGACTGTCATGGGAGGGTGTTGGAGAGCACTGACTGTCATGGGAGGGTGTTGGACAGCACTGACAGTCATGGGAGGGTGTTGGACAGCACTGACTGTCATGGGAGGGTGTTGGAGAGCACTGACTGTCATGGGAGGGTGTTGGAGAACACTGACTGTCATGGGAGGGTGTTGGACAGCACTGACTGTCATGGGAGGGTGTTGAAGGGCACTGACAGTCATGGGAGGGTGTTGGAGAACACTGACAGTCATGGGAGGGTGTTGGAGAACACTGACAGTCATGGGAGGATGTTGGACAACACTGACAGTCATGGGAGGGTGTTGGAGAACACTGACAGTCATGGGAGGGTGTTGGAGAACACTGACAGTCATGGGAGGGTGTTGGAGAACACTGACAGTTATGGGAGGATGTTGGAGAACACTGACAGTCATGGGAGGGTGTTGGACAACACTGACAGTCATGGGAGGGTGTTGGACAACACTGACAGTCATGGGAGGGTGTTGGACAGCACTGACTGTCATGGGAGGGTGTTGGAGAGCACTGACTGTCATGGGAGGGTGTTGGACAGCACTGACTGTCATGGGAGGGTGTTGGAGAACACTGACTGTCATGGGAGGGTGTTGGACAGCACTGACTGTCATGGGAGGGTGTTGGAGGGCACTGGGAGGGCGTGGGAGGAGAGGGCCGCCGCCTCCTGGAATACCAGACGCAGCTCGCTCTCTCCCTCAGACATCACTACTTTAAAACTGTGTCCGGCTGGCACGGGTGCCTGCAGGTGCTGGCACTGTGACAGGTGGCACTGGTGCCTGCAGGTGCTGGCACTGTGACAGGTGGCACTGTGACAAGTGGCACTGGTGCCTGCAGGTGCTGGCACTGTGACAGGTGGCACTGTGACAAGTGGCACTGGTGCCTGCAGGTGCTGGCATTGTGACAGGTGGCACTGTGACAAGTGGCACTGTGACAAGTGGCACTGGTGCCTGCAGGTGCTGGCACTGTGACAGGTGGCACTGTGACAGGTGGCACTGTGTCAGGTGGCACTGGTGCCTGCAGGTGCTGGCACTGTGACAGGTGGCACTGGTGCCTGCAGGTGCTGGCATTGTGACAGGTGGCACTGTGACAAATGGCACTGGTGCCTGCAGGTGCTGGCACTGTGACAGGTGACACTGTGACAAGTGGCAATGGTGCCTGCAGGTGCTGGCACTGTGACAGGTGGCACTGTGACAGGTGGCACTGTGACAGGTGGCACTGTGACAAGTGGCACTGGTGCCTGCAGGTGCTGGCACTGTGACAGGTGGCACTGTGACAGGTGGCACTGTGACAGCTGGCACTGTGACAAGTGGCACTGGTGCCTGCAGGTGCTGGCACTGTGACAGGTGACACTGGTGCCTGCAGGTGCTGGCACTGTGTCAGGTGGCACTGGTGCCTGCAGGTGCTGGCACTGTGTCAGGTGGCACTGGTGCCTGCAGGTGCTGGCACTGTGACAGGTGACACTGGTGCCTGCAGGTGCTGGCACTGTGTCAGGTGGCACTGGTGCCTGCAGGTGCTGGCACTGTGACAGGTGACACTGGTGCCTGCAGGTGCTGGCACTGTGTCAGGTGGCACTGGTGCCTGCAGGTGCT